CCATGGAGATAGGACTGACCCGAGGTCACGTACCTATTATTATGTTAATAAGTCAATGGATTCCGTGTTGTGGGTTGAGAATGCATGTCGGCAAGTCGCGATGTGAGACGGCAATGCAATATTTTCATAGTTTGGCTGATCACGTTTCTGTTTAAAATGTTTAGAGCACATATAAAGAATGGTAGCTTGTTTTTATTTTAATTTCGGCGGAAGAATGTGGTAACATGTTACCCGACCACCGGACAGAGAAGTTTGAAGTTCAACCAGTCCGATACGAAAGTTACCCGTCTCGGGCGTGCGGACGGGCAGGAATTTCCTACACTGATTTGATTTGTAGCTTAATTTATCAATGTGGTCTCTGTTATTTGTAAATCAAACCTGGGGTGTGCTCACTAAGGAAAACAATTTTAACACATTTTTGAACCTTTTTGTTACTCTGGTGAGTCACCATATAACATTGTTAGGTAATGCCATAGTATATGCTTGCAAGAGGATGAATAAGGTTGACTTAAATGTGTGACAATATCTGAATGACTTTATGATTCTACCATGTCACCTTAATTTGCATCCATAGCCTCATTGATATCACCAGGAAAACGAACACTAGAAACACATACAAATATTAGTGTAATTTTGATAATAATAATAATGTAAAAATTCTAGTCTTTAAACCAAAAAATTTTAATTTTATTCAGCATATTAGGTGCATCACTACAGAATTGGAAGCATGTTTTTGTAGAAATAAAATTTGTAGCAAATTGCAGTTTTTAAAACATAAGCCCCTAATACATCAGACTGCTTTATTAGCTTTATTCGGACGCAGTCCGAAAACGAGGACTTGTGTTTTGACCTCTGTGCGTGCGTGCGTGTGTCCAGACGTGTATCTTAGAAATGCCTGGACCAATCACAATCAAACTTCACACATACATCATACATGATATTATACATGTGCACGTCAATTTGTTTCACGATTTGATTCAAGATGGCCAAATGGCGTCCATTTTTGTGCTAAAAGTCATCAAAATCAAGCATTTTTCGGCTGTTTACAGATGGATTTTGTTCAAAATTGATATATACGTTACACATTGTAGGACCTTGATGCACATCATTTTGTTTTTCAGATAAGATTCAAAATGGCCGACTGGCGGCCATTTTGTTTTAATTAATGGGTTTCTAGACCCATATCTCCGACTTGTTTTGTCTGATTAGGCCACACTGATTTAATTTTATGGATGACATCCTCTGGAGACCCCAAAACTAATGCGAGAGGGCGAAAAAAAAATATCCTGCCAAAAAAAAAAAAAATCCTGCTATTGAACCACAGAACACAATGTATCAAAAAACAACAAGAAGTCTTTATTTGTAGAAGGCACATGTTGATATACGCATCTCGTACTGTATTACTGTCACAGGTATAACCATTTCAGACAAGCTCTAGTACATGTAGTCATGATGAAGTACCTTCAGTCAAAAACACTGCATTCAAGGTACAACATGAACATCATTTTCAGTACAAGTCAAGGTGGAATGTACATATCACTACTTTATGACATTAACTAACAAAACATTGCAATGATACAGAAATGTCCTTGCTTGCTCCTCTCTACACAGTAGGGGTTAGCTTTAACCAATCTCTCGTATAGCTGTGTAAACGTCACATCTCCCTTGCGGACGTCAATTGCGTACCAGTCTACAACAATCCCTCAGTCTTTCCTCTGAACTTTTATGCTCGCGTATTCCCGACAACGCAATACGCATGTGCAGAAGATCTTTTACGACAAAATTGGCACGTTTTTAGATAGTCCAAAAAGAGTTTTACGACAAGCCAGCGCTTTGCTACAATATGAGTCGGCAAGTTCCGGACAGAAAACTGATCTGTGGAGACTCGTCGTCGGAGATTTTTTTTTTTTTTTTGGAGAACAGGCGAAAACTAATGCGCGGGTGGATGTCATCCATAAAATTAAGTCAGTGTGGCCTTATGTTCAAATTTTAAATATTCATTATACATCATGTCATAGATAGACAGATATAATGGTTTGACAATCCTATTCTAAATGGCCAAATGGTGGTCATTTTTGTGCTAAAAAATCATCAAATATCAAGCATTTCTGGCATTTATGGATGGATTTCGTTCAAACTTGGTACATACATTAGACATTACGGTTCCTGATGCATGTCATTTTATTTTTCAGATTGGATTCAAAATGGCTGACTGGTGGCCATTTTGTTTTAATGATTGGGCTCCTAGAGCCATATCTCTGACTTGCTTTGACTGATTACATTCAAATTTTATATATTCGTTATACATCATGTTATATATATACATGTTTTCAAAATGGCTAATTTTGAATGCTATTCCAAAGCAATATCTCTCAATATGGACAAGTATTTGTTTGACGATCAGATACAAATGTTAAAAAATCATATTCCTGACATGGTTATATTCCAGCTATATTACTATAAACAAAACTATATATTTGATAACTAACAAGGACTGTGCCATGCATGGCTTGTTGTTACAGCATTGATGTTGACAATAGTAAAATTGAACTGAGTATTCATCCGGAACACACTGGACTACCAGATCAGCTAGAAAAGCGGTACAGAGGTAGTCTTAAATGCGTGGGTGACAGTGAAAGAAGAAAATATGTTGAACAGAGAAAGAAGCAAAAAAGAAAGCGACAAGACTCTGAAGAATCTGACAGTGGTATTGATGGTGTGTTGAAGGATGCTGACTCAGACTCTGAAGTTGAGGTGAGACCCCCCCCCCAATAAATGTCTTGAATTTAAATTTACCTTTACTCTTTCTTGTTTCCATGTGTTAGCATGAGCAGTACACCACTTTTTTGCACATATCTAGGCGTGCTGCATTGCGTTCTCTGTAGACAAATTTGAACAAAAAACTGCCTCAGTGCCCTGTTTTTGAAAAACAATTTGGCAATAAACATTTTATTACAATGCCTAACAGATATAATTATGTAATTTTCTCTGTAGATAATCACTTCAAAAATGAGCAACACGTCTAAAGTTGCTCGGTTAGAACTAGCAGGCTTTTCATGGGATGATAAAACATTCACTGCAAATTTAACACAAAGTGCTAAAGAAATGTCAGGTGACAGTGACAGTGAAGATGATGATACAAATGAAGAGGTAGGTCAAAAGATTGATTTTGTCATGTTTCAGTTTTTATCTACATTGGTGATTGTGATCATTGTGACATGTCGTATCTGATACAAGTTCCATGTGGATCATACTGCTGATGTAAAATGCATTGTTTGTTTGTTTGTTTGTTACCATTCACAAAATTAAATAAGTACCCGGTATGTTAAAAATGTCAGATGTTTTTCAAAAAGTTTGATATAGCTAATAGAAAATTATTTGCTCAAAATTTTGCACTAAAATTTTGGCGAGAACTTTTATGGTGCTCTAGGGTTAAAGGCAGAGTACTTCAACTTTAACATGTGCTTTAATCAGTGTATTCAAAATACCAGTTATGAAGTTATACACTGTTTGCCTTTAATGGCAATGTGATCTCAGCTCTACTGTGGTACTGTAAATTACTTTATTTTAGCTGGGATTAATTTTTGCTCAAAAGACTTTTTCAGTGCTTCTTATGGAATTGATAAGTTGTATGTGAAACATAGAAAAATATGTATATTAGCTGTATTTTATTTTCATTGAATGATTCATCAATTAAAATACTGGTAAGGAAAATTAATTCATAGCGAAAATAAAGTATTTTAAGGTCTGATAATATGTCACTATATTTTCATGCAGTAGCAGTGACATGATTTGCAATTGTGACATCACCATCTGATTTATTCTAGCTTTCTGAACTACCAAAACATACCTCGTTTAATGAATGGTCAAATTATGTATAACTGTATTTATATTTTTGTGAAAGCTATGTGGTTAGTCTGAATGTTCTTAGTGTATACATTGAGTTCAATTCATTATGCATTTTTGCCGATTGGGATTTGTGACGATCGCTGATAGAATTTCATGTAGAACGAGCGAAAACATACACATAAAATAAATTATTCTGTGAAGTTTCGGCTATAACTGAAATACAATAGGATATCAAAATATCTATATACTATAGGATATCGTCTATATAATGTATAACCAGAAATTTTACAATTCCATAGAAACAAACAAATAAATTTAACCCTCACAATTATATATTAAAAAATATATACCGGTAATCAGAATCAGGGAACATGTCATATGTCAAATATTAAGTAATTATTTTTTTTTTAGCCACTGAAAAAGAAAACAAAGAAAGAAAGACAGCAAGAAGAAAAAGAAGAAGAAAAGTTTCTTTATAGAGTAAGATTTACATAAAAGTACAAAGTAGTTACATGAAAAGTAGCTGCTTGTTTCATGTTTAAATAAAAAATCAATAACATACATTTTAGAATATGTTTTTCAAGTAAAAAGTAACATTTCTTGATATATGCATGTTTCTTCAGACTGAGTTGTCACTCATGGATCAAGACAGAGCACCAGAAAATGTTGATGACTTTGACCGGTTGGTACTGAGTTCTCCAGATAGTTCCATGATTTGGATACGATACATGGCATTTTATTTGCATACTACAGACATAGATAAAGCAAGGGCAGTTGCAGAGAGAGCACTGAAGACTATCTCATTCAGGTAACTATCAGAAAATCTTGTTTTAATCTACTTGTGATGAGTTGACACAAGTTGTAAATATTTCTCATGATTTTACTATATAATATTAGATATATTACGCTTTCAAAAACATTGAATTGTTCAGCGACCAGCTGGTGATGTGTTCAGCGACTAGCTGGTGATGTGTTCCGCGACCAGCTGATGTGTTCAGCGACCAGCTGGTGATGTGTTCAGCGACTAGCTGGTGATGTGTTCAGCGTCCAGCTGATGTGTTCAGCGACTAGCTGATGATGTGTTCAGCGACTAGCTGGTGATGTGTTCAGCGACTAGCTGGTGATGTGTTCAGCGACTAGCTGGTGATGTGTTCAGCGACCAGCTGGTGATGTGTTCAGCGACCAGCTGGTGATGTGTTCAGCGACCAGCTGGTGATGTGTTTAGCGACTAGCTGGTGATGTGTTCAGCGACCAGCTGATGATGTGTTCAGCGACCAGCTGATGATGTGTTCAGCGACTAGCTGGTGATGTGTTCAGTGACCAGCTGGTGATGTGTTTAGCGACTAGCTGATGATGTGTTCAGCGACCAGCTGGTGATGTGTTCAGCGACCAGCTGATGATGTGTTCAGCGACTAGCTGATGATGTGTTCAGCGACTAGCTGGTGATGTGTTCAGCGACCAGCTGGTGATGTGTTCAGCGACCTGCTGGTGATGTGTTCAGCGACCAGCTGGTAATGTGTTCAGCGACCAGCTGGTGATGTGTTCAGCGACCAGCTGGTGATGTGTTCAGCGACCAGCTGGTGATGTGTTCAGCGACCAGCTGGTGATGTGTTCAGCGACCAGCTGGTGATGTGTTCAGCGACTAGCTGGTGATGTGTTCAGCGACCAGTTGGTGATGTGTTCAGCGACCAGCTGGTGATGTGTTCAGCGACCAGCTGGTGATGTGTTCAGCGATCAGCTGCTGATGTGTTCAGCGATCAGCTGGTGATGTGTTCAGCGACCAGCTGGTGATGTGTTCAGTGACCAGCTGGTGATGTGTTCAGTGACCAGCTGGTGATGTGTTCAGCGACCAGCCGGTGATGTGTTCAGCGACCAGCCGGTGACGTGTTCAGCGACCAGCCGGTGACGTGTTCAGCGACCAGCCGGTGACGTGTTCAGCGACCAGCCGGTGACGTGTTCAGCGACCAGCCGGTGACGTGTTCAGCGACCAGCCGGTGACGTGTTCAGCGACCAGCCGGTGACGTGTTCAGCGACCAGCCGGTGACGTGTTCAGTAACCAGCCGGTGACGTGTTCAGTGACCAGCCGGTGACGTGTTCAGCGACCAGCCGGTGATGTGTTCAGCGACCAGCCGGTGATGTGTTCAGTAACCAGCCGGTGATGTGTTCAGTAACCAGCCGGTGATGTGTTCAGTAACCAGCCGATGCCTTTCCTGATGATATGAAATCCAACTCATCTTTGAAAGATATATTCAAAAATTAATTTAGTTTAAAATTAGTTGAACTATGTATGAACTTTGCCCCTAAAAAATAACATGCCAAGTATATGCCAAAAATTGTTCTCATTTTGATCGATTGTAAAATAAAAACTTACCTTGAATAATTCAGTGTGTTTCATAAACTATCAGGATTACATTGTAGTAGTCATTATTAATTATTTCCAATGTGATATTTTATTGCAGAGAGGAGCAAGAGAAATTGAATGTGTGGGTTGCATATTTAAATTTAGAGAATCTCTATGGTACTAATGAGACCCTGGTAAAGTTGTTTGAACGAGCGCTTCAAATGTGTGACCCTCTAAAAGTCTTCAGATCTATGATTAACATATACACCAAGACTCAGAAACTAGAGGTATGTGTTACTCGATAGCAAGCAGTAAAAACATTTGCAGTATTTGCAGAATAATGTTGTTGGGAGCTGGTTTATATATTTGTGGGTGGTTTTATCAATCCACTGTTTCAATCCCTCTGTCTGTTATGTTAAACCCTCTGTCTGTTATGTTAAACCCTCTGTCTGTTATGTCAAAACTCTGTCTGTTATGTTAAACCCTCTGTCTGTTATGTTAAACCCTCTGTCTGTTATGTTAAACCCTCTGTCTGTTATGTTAAACCCTCTGTCTGTTATGTTAAACCCTCTGTCATGTTAAACCCTCTGTCTGTCATGTTAAACCCTCTGTCTGTCATGTTAAACCCTCTGTCTGTCATGTTAAACCCTCTGTCTGTTATGTTAAATCCTCTGTCTGTTATGTTAAACCCTCTGTCTGTTATGTTAAACCCTCTGTCTGTCATGTTAAACCCTCTGTCTGTCATGTTAAACCCCCTGTCTGTCATGTTAAACCCCCTGTCTGTCATGTTAAACCCCCTGTCTGTCATGTTAAACCCTCTGTCTGTCATGTTAAACCCTCTGTCTGTCATGTTAAACCCTCTGTCTGTCATGTTAAACCCTCTGTCTGTCATGTTAAACCCTCTGTCTGTTATGTTAAACCCTCTGTCTGTTACGTTAAACCCTGTCTGTTACGTTAAACCCTGTCTGTTACGTTAAACCCTCTGTCTGTTATGTTAAATCCTCTGTCTGTCATGTTAAACCCTCTGTCTGTCATGTTAAACCCTCTGTCTGTCATGTTAAACCCTCTGTCTGTCATGTTAAACCCTCTGTCTGTCATGTTAAACCCCCTGTCTGTCATGTTAAACCCCCTGTCTGTCATGTTAAACCCTCTGTCTGTCATGTTAAACCCTCTGTCTGTCATGTTAAACTCTCTGTCTGTCATGTTAAACCCTCTGTCTGTTATGTTAAACCCTCTGTCTGTTATGTTAAACCCTCTGTCTGTTACGTTAAACCCTCTGTCTGTTACGTTAAATCCTCTGTCTGTTACGTTAAATCCTCTGTCTGTTATGTTAAAGCTCATAATGGATTCCCTGTCTTGAAAAAATGTCTGCTTGACATTCAATGCACATACACAATACGCCCCTGTGTGCACAGAGCACAATACGTGGACATGACATGATGAAGTCACTGAGATTAAATGGAATCCATTTGAATTGCATTTGGTTACTTACTGGTATTTCCACCAGTTCAAAAAAAGTGTGTTACTTGATTCGGTTTGAAACCTCTGTTGATTAGTTAACATGATTTTGAACTAGATTAGTGCCAATGGGAATACTGTACCAAACTTTATTCAAAGAGCTTACATGAACAAAATGCGGGCTTTGCTACAATATGGTATTCCTAGTACTTATTGCTTAGCTTTGTATCAACTTTGCCTGAAATGTTTACTCTATTTACTCAAAACTGAGCTTCAATCAATAGAAATGACAATGCCAAAATTGCATAATACAACAAAATTTATTTCGTTCTAACTGCCTGTTTGCTTTAGTGTTTACATCTATGGCATACTTTGTTTATTGCATTTTT